CTTGTTTAACAAATCTGACTTTCTTTGAGGATGTTACTGCAAGAGTTGATGAAGGAAATACTGTGGATTTGGTGTACTTTGATTTTCAGAAAGTGTTGATAAGGTGCCTCACAAAAGACTTGTTACAAAAATTAAATCTGTGGGTGTGGGAGAAAGGTTATTAAATTGGATAGAAAATTAGCTGGAGAGTAGAAAGCAGAGTAGTAATAAATAGTCAGGGCTCTTTGCTGGGTCCTCTGCTGTTTGTGATATATATTAATGATATTGACTGTGGAATGACTAACAAAATTTTAAAGTTTGCAGATTACATTAAGATTTTTGGAGTGGCTAACTGTATCAAAGATGCTACAGACTTACAGGGATATTTAGATCATTTGATGCTTTGGGCCAATATGTAGCAGATGATTTTTAACTATCCAAAATGTAAGGTGATGCATGTAGGTTTTCACAATTCAAATTATTGTTATAATTTAAATGGGAACACATTAAATACTGTGGTTGAAGAAAATGATCTTCATGTTGTGATCTAAAAATTACTCAAGTCATCTAAACAGTGTATTACAGCTAGCAATAGGGCTAAGGATTTTGGGTAGCATCTATAGAAATATTGAATACAAGACAAGGGATATTATTGTTTCACTGTATAGATTACTTGTTAAGCCTCATTTAGAGTACTGTGTACAGTTTTGGGCTCCCTTCCTCAAGAAGGACATAGAATTGTTAGAGAAGGATCAGCAAAGAGCCACTAGGATGATACCAGGGATGGTAGGATTGTCCTATGAGGAGAGACTAAAATCTCTAAACTTATTTTCTCTGGAGAGGAGAAGGGTCAGAGGGGATTTGATTGAGGTGTTTAAGATTATTAAGAGTATTAATAATATAGACCCATCAAACTTCTTTGTGTTTAGCAGTGAAAACAATAGGACAAGGGGTCATAAGTTCATATTTTGGCAGCATGGGAATTGTCTGCAGTTTAGACAGTATTATTTTTCAAACAGGGTGATTGGCTTTTGTAATGAGCTGCCTTCAAGGGTGGTGTAGGCAGAAAATTTAACTGAGTTCAAGAAAAGATTGAATGAATACATGAATAGTAAGGTGTGGTTATAGTTAGGAGCTGGAAGGGACACCCTTGATGGGCTAATAAGCTCCTTTTTGTCCCTTTAAAATCTTATGAATTTATACCAATTTGTAATTGTGTGTATGGCCTACTCCATAGTTATGGACATTATATTGGAACACATTTTTTATGACATCTTTAACATGTAGGTCTGTAAGCATGCATATTTTGGAAAGATGATGGGTTACTGCAAACTTCTGTGACAAGTTGTGGATAGTGATAAATTACAAACAGTATCCTGTTTTTCACTAGTTTCATACATAAAATTGAAACATTGTTATGGGCATGCCAGAGAATGGATGTGCACTTCATAATTTCTTGATTTACACACTAAATTCTGGGAATTGGTAATTACCATAAAAATTTTTAGAAAAATCAAACATGTGCCTAGGTTATTAAACCACATCTGCAATTTAAATTCTACCAGTTACTTGCTGATAATTTGGAAAGAAATTACTGTTATTGATGTTACATTATCCAAGAAGTGAGTACAGTATACATTTCCTTGAATCAGGAACAAAATATGCTTCTACAAAACTTCAAATTACAGAAACTACAAAATGCGTAGGCAAAATACGGCCCATGTAACATTTCTGTACTGCCCGTCATGACTCCCAGCAATTGTAGAAGGAAAATAATGGGGTCTTTATACAATTGATGTTGAGGTAATTTAATTAATATAGAAATGTGTGGCCTGCAGTGACTTGCCAAAATTCGTGAAGTGCCCCTTCTTAGTGATAACATAACATAGTAGCAGCAACAAAGAAACAAGGGTATGATTTATTAAAACTTAAAAAAAGAAGCACTGACAGAAATCACTCACACCCTAATATATCTCTCTCAATATCAATGATATCAGAACTAATTTCTAAATATTACTGAACAAACAATGTCCCAAAAAAGCTATCTGTGGCAGCTTCAACTGGCATGAGTGTGGAATTTCTACTCAGTGACATGTGTCACATGAATAATGGAATAGAACTTCAATTCTGTTTTTTTGGTTATCCTAATCAAGTGACAAGGCCAACTGACTAACAACAACATACTATTTGGGCTATAAGGAAAGACATGCTTTTCACTGTTTTATATCCAGACTGTGATGTGGCAGATGGTGAATGGAAGGGTGCTGGTTTGGGTTCTGATGATGCTGCTGTCTGTATTGTTGCCAGCTTTTCATTTTCTCTCCATCTAGTTACATGTAGCCTTACTGATTCTGAATCTCTCTGCTCATTACTTTGTTTTTCAGTTATGGTAAGGTTTGATTTTGTGTGCTCTTTTCTTTTACTTTCTTCATCATTGGCTAGAAACTCTGGGTAATTTTTCTTCCTATCTGCAAATGAAAAGTAGAAATAGAATAGCTTCTCAATTTCAAAAATATTGTTAATGGTAATTATGATAACTCTAGTTGAATTGTCTTGCAAATTTATGTAAGAAAAAACAAAGAATTGTTAATGTAGTTATAAAAAAAAGAATTTTAAGGAATTTTGTTACGGATGTTAAAATTTTTTAAAGTACCCTCTCCCTGACAGGAATGGTAGCACTGAGGTAAGATATATATACCTAACGATGACAGTGTTTATCCTATCTGCTGATAAACATGAAGTAGGTGGAAGTTAAATTTAACATCTTTTAAAATGTAAGATCTAACATATTTTCTGTAATGACTGCAAGATTTAAAAATTCATCACTCCAGTTAGATGGCATTCGTTTGCTACTTTGGTTTTTTTACCACTCATAATGTTCAGAGAAGTTTACTTTTAAAATAGGTATAACACTAAAGGGAATGCTGCAATTCGAAATCACTTTATGTGTCTCCATTTTCATGGAATGAGCCATATCTATATAATAAAAAGAGTAGCGTGTGTGTGTACATGCATGTGAATCTTTTTACCCTTCATTAAACTAAGCAAAAATGAAACTAGAAATAGAGAAATATGGATGATGTCACTATATGCAAAGGAAAAGGTATTTGGGGAATGGATCTGTCACCCCCTCAGAGCCCTGTCAGATAGAAATAGTTAATGTATTAAGGTTTTGTATGTCAATATTTTCATTTATTTATACACTTAGAGTGCTGGTTCTGTCACCCTCTTGAGTAGAGACCTGGAAACAGTATTACAGAGTTTTAATACTTGCCCTGGATACCCGAGTTTTGAAAACCACTAGATAAGTTGATCAGTTTGTCATTTTTGACCAAAGTGTCTCTTATATTATGGTTGTTTGGTACGCATCATGGGTTTGAAGCAATTGAATATTTTTTGAGGGAATTTTACAATTTCTTCAGTATTTATAGCATTTTAAAAGAGTTTAAGAAAGAAGTTGTAGCAATTTTATAAGTTTTCTGAGTAAACATATACATGAAGAAATAGCATAAGTAAAATACACCTGTGTTATGAAATAAGGTCAAGAACTAGGAAAGTACAGCTAGCTGATTAAGTGGTATTGAGAATCACAAGTTAAGTGTTATAAAAAATGAAGCTACAACAGAGACGTTGAGAAAAATGCTAGTCATGAGTTGACAGTGATAAGTTACTGATGCCGAGGTAATAGTACAGTAAAAAGTACATGATAGCATCTGAAATCGGTACTTTAATGTGAGATCTGTTACTCCAGACCAGTGTAGCAGTACAAGTAAAAAGGCAACTGGAGCACTTATATTCACAGTAACCAATTACTTGAGAGTTTTGGTTCTTGTTTTGGATTAATCCGGGGAGTTGCACAGATTGACCAATAAAGTGTTAAAACTACTTGCAGGTAGTTAGGAATACTAATTGGAAAGTAGAAAGAATACAAAGAAATATGGTTTAAAAACTCGTGTCTGGAGCTAAAAATCAGTTCTCTTCAGGAAGAATTGAGATTCTCCCCAGAGTTGCTGATAATCCAGAAACTATGAACATGAAGGTGTCCCAGCTGCAGTGTTTTACCAGGCCAATTGTGTTGTAAGTAATGAAACTATTTATCTTTTAGTCATTTAATGTGATTTTGGATGGATTATAAAGAATCCTATGAAAGTTAAGAAAGTAAACTATGTTATGTGTTTGTTATAATTATCAGTGTTGTTAACCTAAAGTGTTCTTTTATGAAGAGTTAGCAAATGCTTAAATCTTTACTAAAGTGTATTTTATGTGAAGAAACTTGAATAAACTGGATGTATTGTGTTGAATATCAGTCTCAGGATCCGTTTCTTTAGTCTAACCGTAAATATCCTCAAGTTAGTGACTTGTGAGCTCCACTTGCTACTGCAATCCTTAAATAAATATATTTGGTGTAATTGACAGTATAGTTGAAACTCCAATAACTAGCCCTAATGGTGCTGTCCATTACAGGCTGTGGAGTAAGTTTAACTTTGCTGTCATTGAGACACCCCGCATGGCCATCAGATTTATTCAGAACTCTACATACCTAACATCATACATAAGTAATCTGGGTAGGTCACTTAACTGTTTTAAAAACTTTAAATACATAACACTATCTTTATGTTTTATAAACTTGGTGCTTTCAAATACAAAATACCATAACAATGTAGAGGTTTCATATGTGTGTGTGTGTATTATTTTGAAGAATTGTGACTTATAAGGAAAGCAAACAATGGACTGAACTCAGGTTTCCAGGATGGTAGGTCAATACTAAGCTGATTTAGCTAATGACTACAGCTTGAAATATTTTTAAAAAAAGTGTATCAAGGAATGCATGTATATATACATGTTACTGTGTGTGTGTGTGTGGGGGGGGGGGTGACATTGTAAATTTCTGTGTATACATCTTCTGTACAAATATATACTTAACATACTGTATACATTTTTTAAAAAAAATTCAATAAACAATTATTTGTTCATGTATTTCTTCATTTTTACCAATGTATGCTGTACTTACTTCCTTTCAGGGAAGGAGATTTATCATGCCTAAATGTTCAAGCTATTGTGAATTCAACAAATGAGACATTCACTGATAGAAATCCTTTAAGTGAGAGAATATTACATAGAGCTGGAACCCAACTTAAACAAGATTTGTATACAAATATTAAAGGTAAGGATGAATGCTCACTTTATAATAAAAAATATTTAACAGTTGACAACTTATTTTAACTATGGAAATTATAGTCAGTAGTTAAAACAATTCTGACAAACCTTATAAAATGAAGGTGGAAAATGATGAATTTATATGAAATTCAAAATGAACATTTTCATAAAAATAGTTAGTTAACGGAGAATTAGTTTTACCCTAATTTAATAAATTAAAAGTTAATCTTTTTGCTAAAGGTAGGTTAAAGTGCATGTCACAACCTTTTACAGAGTTACATTCAAAATTTAATTAAATTATTTTCAATGCATACAAACAAATATGATACCAAAACATAGTTAATTAATCAAACTTTAATATTATATAAGTTTCAATTTCTTAATTTCTAAAGGAAATACTTAAATAAATCCTCAATCTCCTCTTGTATGAGAATTGTGACATTTAATCTCTAAGTTTGGCCATTCTCTAATTTATTAACCACCCGTCTCTAAAGTACAGAGTTTAATGTAAATTACTCATTATTATATAGATATTACTAAAGCAAAGTCTAATTTTTATAGCCTTCAGTCTTCTTTGTTTAAGAAAACATAAACTAAAAAGTTAGACCCACTTGTTATGTCCACCTACCACATCATTTCTTTCATAAATTGAGAATAATGCTCTCTATTGTTTTAATCTATCAAATTATGGGTTAAATTATGCTGTTTCCAATACAGAACACTGTATACTTAACATTTCAGTTTGAAAGTTCTCCTGAAGTTTTCAGATTGAGAAGAGAAAACATAAACTAAAAAGTTAGACCCACTTGTTATGTCCACCTACCACATAATTTCTTTCATAAATTGAGAATAATGCTCTCTAATGTTCTATATTATATCACTTATGACCAATAGAAAGACAAAGTTTGAATCTATCAAATTATGGGTTAAATTATGCTTTTTCCAATATAGAATACTGTCTACTTCATTTTCAGTTTGAAAGTTCTCCTGAAGTTTTCAGATCGAGAAGCGTAGGAAACTATTTTATTTATGCCATAGTTAGAAAGCCAATTTAATTATAATAGTTATAGGACATTGTATCCTTTGTGCCTGTTATTATTTTGTGTTCTAAGGTGCATTATGTATATAAATAAAAATTATTTAATGCATTTGTATTACCAGTATATAAAAGTTGGCTTAAATTTCATTGGCAACCGACAAGGAAAAAACGAGTTCAGAGGTAAGTACTGTATTTCTTGTTTTTCATTTATATTTTTATTTATTATTATAAGGTTAAAAGTAACTAAACTTTAAAAATTATAAACTAATTAGGTAAGATAATGAAAAATAATAATAATTCTCCATGAGGTATGCTCACGAGTAGCTTGTGCATTACATAATTCAATATGGTAACTTGAGCTATGCATTTACTGAGTGATTTACAACATGTATAGCAGGATTACAAGTTAGACGTGGTTCGAAGGGCAATAAAATAATAGAATTAAGTAGAAACATATGTAAACTGTTATGAGTGTTAAGCTATTTAAGATAAATAAATGTAGTTTCCTTTTACAATTTACAGAGAGTTAGGGTAATGAAAATAATAGATAAAATATAAAGTTTTACGGCTAAAAATGTTTGATATTTATTTAGGAGGTTTTTATAGGTTACACAAATGAAATCTGAAAAATTTCAGATAAAGAAAAGTATTTTCAATCTTAACATAAAAATCACTTTGCATTTGAAGCAACCTGATCCTATCTGATGATGACAAAAGCTTGTTGAAGCATTGTACATTTGTTACTTGTAATAAAGTTCCTTTGAATACCTATTTAAGCTGTCTCCAATCTTTAAAAGACTTGTAACACTTACTGAAAGCTTGCCAAATTTTGTAAAGATACATGTATCATGTTAAAAGTTATAGTAAGGAAACTGATGGCTACTTTAGGGTTACATTGACAGACCCTGTATGGAAAGAGTTAAATGACATATTACGAAACAAAGTTGTTTGAGAGCAATTATATAAATCTGTATGTCATAGACTGAATTCTATCACTGGTTTTCATGAGTGTTCAGTGAAAAAAGTAATCGGGAGTAGCAAACAAACCTTGTAATGCAGAATCATAATAGTTGTTTGTGCAATGATTAGCTTATTATATACATACTTTAAGAAGTGAAATTGCAAATTTTATCAGGTAACTGAGACAACCAGCTGGACTATAGGTGTTAACCAGATGACTTAAGAATTGTTTTTATAAGGCAAAAATTCTAATCTATTACTTCTCTATCTATAAACGTTGTGCCATATAAAAATGCATAAAAATGTGACTTTCAAAAACACTACTCACCTTTCCACAGAACTGAGAGCTATTACTTTGAATGAAACTTCCATCCTTACAGTGTACATGGGTGGGGGTCAAAGTGCGCATCACAGTTCAGCAACACACAAGAAGTTCTTTTGACAGTACCTTTTTCTCTACCTCCTCTAAAGAATATGAGTTGGATGCAGTTTTCCATTGAATGAAGTCCCACTAGGTTCCTCTCCCCCCCCTCTAGTTGGTGACATGCTCCATTACATTACAAGTCTTGCACATACAAAAAATTATATTTTTAGTGAAGTATTTGTTTTGAATAGTCTATGTGGAAAGTGATTTTTATATTAATATTAAAAATACTTTCCTTCATCTCAAAAATCTCAAATTTCATTTGTGTAATCTCTAAAACCTCCTAAATACATTTCAAACATTTGTTTTCAGTAAAAATTTATATTTTATCTGTAATTTTCTCTACTCTACCTTTAT